GTTGACCTAATCTAAGCATTATCACTGTCAAGTTAAAGGACTTTTTTATAAGAGATTACCAGTAGACCATCAAATGAAAGCAAATTGTCTCCATAATACTACTATCTTGCAACAGGGAATGACAGTAAAAGATAGGGAATTTAGGAGACCAGAAAATACCCGATTTTCGGTTCCTCAAAATATACAATGCATTCATAAACCCGGTTTGACAGCTTGGCCTCTCCATGCTGTTTTACCTGCCGCATTCATCAAAAACTTTCATTCCATTGAAAATATGAACCATGTGAACCATTGGCTACCTACCGTCAAGCGTTGCTTCATCAATACTTTTGACCTGCGGTTAAAGTAGAATGACTCGAACATGTTTTTTCCCAGTGAATAGACGAGGGTAAATTGTTAGAGCAATAAGCCTTAGAAACATCTCAAGTTAAGATCGTTTATCAAAATTCTTGTAAATGTGAAGATGTTTGCAGGATCACCGAATTTAAGCGTAACAAAAGAAGAAGCTACCTCATCCGTCTGCACCCGAGACAAGCCCGCTGAGTTACGCGACCTGTACGGGTGAAAAGTCTACTTCCCGTGCCCTCTAGCTCATTGCCATCTCATAGAGGAGTAAAATTCACCACAAACAGCCCGAAGATCAAAGGGCATGTGACTGATTTATTAATTACGAGACATTGGTAATGCTATCCGCTGTGTCTCAAAAACAATACGAAAATGAAGTGTTTTTCACACGTATAGAGACAGACAAATCAGATCCAAGCAAGTTAGGAGGAGGAGGAGGGGGAGGAGGAGGAGGATGAGTATGAGCTGGAGCTAGGAGTCAGGTAAAATAAATGTACCCAAAGCAATTTTTGAAAATGAAAAGACAAACATTTCCGTCAAAAATTGTCAATAAAAAAGCCTTTTATCTCAAGAAAGTACTTTCTAATAATGCTCGATTACTATTGATAAGGCAAGTAATAAGGTTTTGTCAAGATAATCCTCTCAAAGGGCCGTTTCTGCATTTGTTTCGCAACAATTAAGCAAGTCAACTACCTCTTGCGAAAGGGAAAACGTCACATTAACAGGTTATGGGAAATCGAGAATGAAATTATTGGGTGACATTAAATGAAAGGCCTTCCACAAACGCACCTCTGTAGAAATGAGAGCAAAATGTGGCAAACTGGGGAGGTGCTCGAGCCTGCTTGAGGAAAAAGTGGGAAAACATCCATAGAGCTTAGCAAAAAAGAGAGAAGTGTGATGGACATGTTCATTCTTTGTGAGATGTGGCATCTGAAAGGAACGGCAATTGACAGTTGGGGTGTCCAGGCGCTGGTGTGAATAAAAAGTCAGAGAAAGTGATCTGAGAAAGTGGGACAAGGGAAGAGGGTCGAGTGTACTTAAGTTACCATGACGTAACTAAAAAAAATGAAATGCACTGCGTAGCAGTGTGGTCTTCACCAAATTTTTACCTCAAATCGGCCTCAAGCAACGTTCACCATACCTTTGCTATCATATAAAAGAGATGAACCCGCCTATGAAAATAGGCATCTTATCCTCTCCTCCCACAAACAAATCAGAATTGCCACAAAGTGTAGAATGAATTCGATGTTCGCAGCATAATTTAACATGAAGCACAAATTACTGGGAACATCCAATATCTCCGCGCTCAACACACTACTGACACCAAAAAGTATCGTGGCACCGTTAAATTGAACATATGCAAGGTCGTAACGTTGTTGTTTTTAGTTTGCTACAGCCCCCATCACCACAAACTTTCATTTCTACATCGCGAAAAATCCCTTATTATGGAAGAAACTTACGTTCCGTAAACAGTATATTTTCGAGCACACAGCATATGATAAAACAAAAAAGCCGAGCAACAGGTGGAAGATGAACCAACATCGAAGAGGCATCTTAGTCTACTTACGGACGAAGTCGGTAGAAATGACTAACCCATTTGAATTTACCGGGTCCTAGCGTGGATGCTATCGCCTCTCGAAATCGCCCCAGGAAACGTCCAAGTACTGCAGTAACCGAGGTAATGGGCGGCCATAAATGCATCTACGTTTACCATAGACACGTACCTCAGGGACCAAGCGAATAGTGCCTGAATGGTTAGGAGGTCAGTCTTGAATAAGGATAAGGTTGACCTTTGTAACGAGTCGTGTTGTGGACGTGTGCTTTGAAAGTTCTTTTCGAGTGGTTGAAGCATCACCAATTCTGCACCGCTGATTTGAGGCGATTTGCAGTTAAATGCAAAATTTGTGAGGAAGTTCCTTGTAGACCTCACGGCACGATTTGCATATTACTTAGCAATGCTAATAAAAAAGTGACAGAATGGTGCTGGTTTTAATTACAAATTTAACAGTCCATACACCACCGTTCTCCCGCAAACTGGTTCTATACCACCTAGCTTACCTTCAAATTGGCATGACAGACGTCTCTACAAATCCCCGGGCTCTAGAATGGCACAACGCAGTGCGACTTTTTAATTGAAATAATCACCTCACAATCACAGATTTTACGCCGAAAAACCACTCTAAAACGTTCGCGACCGAGATTTCACTGAGAAGGCTGACTCAGTCCAGGTGTGTTGTGTTGGTCAAGCTAGCCCCCAACTAAGATAATCCTACACCTAACTTATTTTTGCACTGCGCGATTTGGTGCAATTAGTTATCATAGGCGCCAAGCAATTGTGATGACGGATCAAGAAAAATACCAAGGCGTCACACATACGTGTCGCTCATAACAGAGACACTGATCACGCAAATACGTTGATAGTGCGTACTTGCAAGCGGTTGAATTGAATTTCTCGCTGTGAGTAGGTTAGAGTCTAGCGAGAAGTGCTGAGCGCTTAGCAAGGAGCAAAACTACGCTGTACACACACGCGTACAGACGCGTGGCAATTAGATTTTGAAGAATGATTACTTGCGCTCACCAACACATACGTACACAGTGAAACAGACCGCAACTCGTGACACCTGGTATCACGGACTCCGCTTAGCAAAAAGCAGCAAGCACACAAATGTGGGATTGGAAAGCATGAAAATCAATGTTACAAGTTCGTTTTCTTCCCACTTTTGCCGTTTTCGTCGTCGCCTCTTCCACCTTGCGGCATGCAGAAAGGGGAGGGATCAGGCTGTCAGTATCACTCCGCTCTAACCATGTGACTCTACGTATAAACACGCAAACACGAGTATGCGCAGAAACACACACCGACTGGAGTTAAGAGGTGTGTCCCGACATATTTTGGCGCTCTGATCACCAGCGCGGCATAAGCAACATGTAGCCGAGACTGTTATCAAACACTGAGACCTCGGACATCATGTGGTGCTCGGCATTTTAAACAGGTTTACTTAAAGTTGGTGAGGTAAAGGGACTTGCTGCTAGAAGTAACAAGTACTACTACTGGGAAGGTATATGAGAAATGATACAAATGGATATTTGGCAAGGCCTGGTAATTGGGTGATAGGGTCGAATGGTGGCCTAGACGTCTTGGAGACCATGAGGGAGCATGGATTTTGGCTGATAATGCCGGGCAATGCTTAAAATCAGCTCCTGAGTTAGTTCATACTGAAAGGCACGGAATGATATCTACTGTAGTCAATAAATCACAAACACTAAATTACTTTCCAAAGGGATAGGGAAAAGGGTATTGAAGAACATCGATAATATTATACATCCTGCTATTAATGGGGCAAATGCCCTTATCCTATCAGCAAGGATATATTAAATTAGTTTGTATTCCATGTGAGGCTATGACACGATTTAACCAAGTGGAGGTGATAAGAAGAAGAGTGACTTGGGTCGACCTACCTGTGGACGACATTGTGACAAACAGAGCAGACGGCAGAGCAGTGATGATGCGGCTGAGGGCAGGACTTTCGGCAGACCAGACAGATCGAATGACCGAGTGTCATGCAAAGCTAAAATCATGCAAAACAAACAAGCAGTGCAACTTATTGGCACACAATTAATTTGGTCGTTGGATGATCACCTTCATTTATTTTTAGGACTGCCAAAAAAGTATACAGACGTTTCATGTAAACTCTTGAAATAGCCTTGATCCAAAAGGAATTTTGAAAGTTTCGCCCATCGATGACGACACTTGGATTAGTCTTACCGACACATGCGGATGATCCTACCCACCGATATTGCCGAATAAGTGACTTTTACCGTCACAAATCTCTCCGACAGTGATTCAAATAAGGCTTCTTTTTCACATGATTGCCACATTTTTTACACGTGAGCAATGTAATCATCCACCAAACAGTGCGCGGGATAGTACCCATTAGGGATTCTACCGAAATAAACTGAATGGGAATGAACACGGAGGAGCAGGCGTCAAAACAGATTGAAAAACGCATCACAAGACGCTCTCTCAAATAGTGCATGCATGCACGTGGTGAAATGAGTGGGTGACTGAGTGAGATGTTGAGAGGAAGAGTGCATCAAAAGACCTTAACACAACAAACGGAAATGCGCTCACGAGCAAATTTTTTAAGAACTCGGATAGAGGGGTAGACACAAATTTGACCCCGTGACGATGGCGAAACGTAGCGCCTGCTTGTGCAAGAGCAAGCGGTGGCTCAACCAAATGACGGGCGATTTAAATAGGCACCGAGGAGAGTGTTACCATCTGTCTCATTTCTGAACCAGACTATTTTACCAGCCACGTGAATAACAGGACAATGATAAGACAACAAAAATTTGAAATAAAAACTGGTAGACAGTCTGAGTTAATAATAATGTTAGAGCAAAACCCGCACCAACATTACGATACAACCGAATTGGAGAGGAGTAAAGAGAGAACAACTGGCAAGATTCCAAATTACCATGCATGCGTTCACATGTTTCTCAACTTGTGCTAGGAATTTCATCAGAAGTTCAATCAGCGACCCATCGAGCACCCGTTCTACAGTCCACATGGTGTACGTGCATGGTCGTTCCAACAGCCATGCTGGCTGACTTTCCTAAAGGTAATGGCGGGTAAAAGGATGTTTACTAACCCCTTCTTAAGTAGCAATTACAGCGCTAGCTCTGCTTGCCTCGAACTTGTGCAGAAGAGCAGCGGCCTCACGACAGACGCGAAAGTAAGTAAAAAGGAGGCGATGAGCTCGCATTCTAAGGCTCCCCGTCAGTACGGCCTGTCCATTCCATCGTTGCCAAGGTTCTGGAGAGCTGAACTGTTGGCGTGGCCACATGTATTCGAGAGCAATGAGAGAATCACGCGACACCTTGAAGTGAAAATGGCACAAATATACGCTGTACTAATCCCGAGAGGGCAGGAAGCACAATAGATGTGCGGTGCGGTAGAATATGGCCAAGTGCCATTACTTTAAGGATGTGAATCATCGGCGTGAAAAAAGGAAATCCGCTCCGCTTTGCAAGAATGATTTCCCACAACTTTTGCCATTTAACTTCACAATAATGTACCACCACTGGCTAATCTGTGACTGCGAAAGAGAAAAGAGAGGAGAAGTGCGTCTAATAGACAGATGTGCTGTTGTGGCTGTGCTACAGCAACGTTGACAATGGTCTCAGTACTACTCTGAGACTCTATAAAATCTTCATTTTTCGATTAGGAGCTACTGTAATTTAAGAGTTTTCTAGGGTAATTTTTACTTCGGTTATTGCGACTGTCTTGTGTTGTAAAAGATATCTTCTCGAAAATACATCGGCTTAACAAATGAGCAGACACAGTTTGAGATATATGAAAGCAAAAAAAAGAAAATAAGATTTCAATCAGGAAATTATAAAAAATTGTAGGGAAATATAAGCAGTTAACAGTACTAACTGGGTAGGGAGAGGTGATTCCAAGGGCAAAGACTTTTCCCGGTATACACCACAGGTCACCCCAATGACAGTTGGCGCAGAAGAATTTCCCCGAATAGTGGCAAAAACGGGCAGCACTTGTCTCTCCTTCTCCAGTGCCCTTCCCTACTGCCAGTGCTGCTTGCTGCACAAAACCATCTGCAACGGCAATACGGACGTCGGCGGAGGTGAGCAATGGCCCCAACTGGGGTGAGAAGAGGCCTGCCACCTCCTGAAGCGCAGTGGTCGCGCATTTCAGCTTCGCCTCCGCTGGTGTGGATGCGTGCTCCATCCGCTGCACGCTCAACAGCAGCTCGGCGGAGGGCGAAGCAGAGGCGGTGCTGAGGTTGCGAAGTAGCAGCGGCATATTGGCGACGGTAGATGGGGGACCCAGAGGGGCGCGAAGGGGTGTACGACAGCTCCAGCAGCGCCAGCCCTGTCGCGAGAGACTAGCATCGAGGTGGGCACCTTTAGCCACCTCAAGGATGAGCGTTGAGGAGGCGGAGGAAGCAGGACAGACACGCAGAAGGCCACGCAGACACGCCGGTGAGTCGTGACAAGTTACGGAGCAGTCGCGGCACAACAACACACTGCCTGTTGGCGACTTAACGCTGCGAACGCAGGAATCGCACACTGTACCCAAAAGACGCAATGATGGAATGATGCGAAAAGTGTGACCCTGAGCTGCTGACACCGGTGATGCCGTAGGTGATGCTGCTGAGGATGAGGCTGTCTTATCGACAATGGTGGACTCGCGTTCCTAGGGAAAGCAGAGTCAGAATCTCTTGAGATGTACTGTTAATTTTACAAAGAAGCGGTTAGTTAGCTTGGCCGGAAATGTGTATATTAGAGGTTGGATACGAGAGCAGTTGTTAGAAAAAGAGAAGCATCAATAATCAGCAAAACTGTCAACAGAAGCCAGCGGGGAGAATAACAACTCAAAGTGTTGCATTATATTTAATACAACTGTCTCCTGTGCAAAAAAGGAAAACTTTCTAATAGATTTGGGATGACAGTTAACTCTCTTGAAACAGACGTTCGAAGGTTTTAAGAATTCGTTAACCTTATGGTTATGCATTATAAACACCTTTCGGGGTGGGAGTAGTGCTGAAAGCAAACCAATAACCGTTTGAATCATATATCTGAACACATGAATGCAGTAACGATTGTGCTTGAGAAAACATAAAGTACCTTTACAATATACAGGAGTCTTCGCAATTCGATGAGTCGCTTGAGAAGGAATTTTTGGTAAGCTTGTGGTTTTTCCCTAGAGGTGAGATACATATGCTTGCACTGCAGCACGTACTCCTCCAATTCACTGACTGAAGACTGTGCTCCAACATGCTGCTAAACTACGATCATGACAAAAATATGGTACACAATCCTATTTAAGAAGAAATCGCGCGGTTTAAGCAAGCTCCAGAATATGGTCAAATCGAAAAATGAGATGAACAAAATCTGCATTGAAATCGTAATATCAAGTATCTTTAACAAATCATCGTATACAAATATTTTAACCCACTCGACAAGGCTGTCAATTAAAGAGATAATATTCTAGGTCTCAAAAACAAAGCTCTGTGTTGAATAATACAAGTACATTGTGGTAAGTCAAGGAAGTAATGCTATCAAATAAGAGCAAAAAATCGTCAAACTACCTTAGATATTGTGGTAACGCAAAATAATATAAGAAATATCGAAATAAACACTGAAAACACTTGGGGTGCAGACTTTACTTACAAATGGATCGGTAAAGTATGGTACATTCCCCCTACATGAATCTTGTTCTAGTAAAGATGCACTTTGTAACTAAATATGCTTACTCAAACCTTGTGTGGAAATCTTCACCGAGGAAGATGATGTATTGCGGCATTCTCGAAACGGGCTTGGGCGTCCCGAAGGCTTGAATTCCATTAGAACCGCCCTTTTAGTTTATTTACAGGTTGTTTGTAGGCAACCAATCATATTGCTCGGCGAATAGCGTTAAAGATAAAATATATCCAACTAATTTGAAGAATCAAATGGCCATAATATCTGCGTCGAAACATTTTCGTCATGAAGTGGATACAGATTTTATTTTTGTGTCGGGGACCAGCAAATTATATGTCGACTTACTTGTTTCACCCGGGGTCATTCGCGGAAGGTGTAACGCAAAGTGCTCTTCACAGTGCTTTGACCCGCTGCAACTTCAGGGAAGACCTGATGCCCTAAACATTGCAAAGAAAATCAAATCACTATTCACCTCTTCTTTCGTAAGTTATCTATGCAGCTCCTGCTGTTATTGTTCTGTTCCGATTAGTGTATTTAAATCACTTATAAGCCACGAACGGCACACTTTGGATCCTTACAAAGAATTCATTTTTCTTATTTCCGTCCTCTTTGTAAGCAACAATGAGGGAAGTTTATTGGTCTTACACGGTAACGACCTGCAACGAGAGCATTTTATAGGCCAAGAACTATTCATAGTAACCTTTCCCATAAACAAAGTCTAGTGAAATATAACTCTATTGTAGCGTCCCGAGACTCCCTTAAGACGAAAGAAGACACAATACTCGGGCAGAATATATATATTCAGCACGGAGAAGGTGTCTGGGCTATTGGCATGGCCCAAAAGGCCAGCCCACCCAGCGAGGTACAAGGGGGCTAATTCGAAGTACAAAAGTGGCGCCTCACCGGAACCGAGGGATAAACCACCATCGTATTACACTATATCTGGTTTGCCTTGTCACTTTCCTCTTATGTCAATAAGTTCCATTTAGCTAGTGTGGACCTATAGAGGATATCTTTTGTCCACGTAATTCACGCACTTTTAATTAAGCAACGTTCGCGTCGGATATCGTTGCAATTTATTTCCAATTCCCCTCTTGCATGACAGCGGACTGGCGTAGCTGTCAAAGCTGGAGGCACTTAAATAACCACTCTGCAGTGAGACTGCAGGTTCAACGATCCGTAATGGATGCAACTATTCTGTTAAATGAAGTCAGGATGGGTGTCCTTTTGGCTCGAGTTCTCTTACCGCTATCTCAAGTCGTCCTTGGAGTTGTAACAAGCTATACCAGTATGAAGGGAAGTTTGTCAGTAAAAGAAAGGCTGGAAGGTTATGGGCATAACTAAAGAATCATGCGATCAACTGACAACATGACGAACCTAGGCAGAATAGTTCATGTTGTTTAGTGTGCAGGAACTGAAGTATTAACACTGCAATACAATAGTGATGCTCGTCACAATGAGTGTCGGAGTCCATAATGCATCTGTGCAATGGTCTTCAGACTTGCCGAATATCGTATCCTCTGCAAATCGGGTCTGTATCAGAAAGGGACTGATTTGAGAGGTATTGTTGAACGCTAGATCATGTTATACAGCTAACTTGTCCTGCGCTCATTCTACTTTTCGTTGTAATATTTAATCAAAAGCGAGACAATGAGGAAGAGTTTGCTAACCTTAGAATTTGGTGTAAGCTGTTGTGTCCAGTGCTGCATGGCCGGCCAATACTCATTCTTTCCTAATATCCATTTGTTGATGATCATTGTGCAGAAATCCGAATTGGGTGCCTCCCAAAATCAAACCCTATTTTGGGTATTCTTTAGCGAGCCTCCTTAGATTCGGTCGTCATCGGCTGATGTCTACCCTCCTTGGCGTTTGGGTTTGGTATACAACCTATAAGATCAGAACTGCTATCCATTTCGACCAAAGCCCCTTCTTGGCTTCAATACTGCAATCATTCCCACCTATCCTAGGAACTACCAATGTGGAAGGTTATTACTGGTGTACAAAAGGGACCGATAGACTACCAACGTCTTGCGACGATAGAACCCGCGGCTAGTGGAGAGCTCCAGAACTGAATACGTCCTCTGATAGAGCGATATTCGCTTACCATATGACCGCACCTGCATCCAGCCGACACTCTGCACGTCAACCGCAAAAATTCTTGTGAGCATCCCTTGCACACTTTCAGAAAACCTGAGAGCTCTAGTCCAAACAGGCATCGCATGCCGGAGCCCGCACTCCCTTGCCACTCAGTTTATGACTGACATTGCCCACTACAACTTCCACGAATAAGCAACTGAGGAAAGCAGGTAATAATGCACAAAGGTATATTCCCGCACGGCAACAAGCATCCAATGCCAAAAACAAATGTTGATAGAGTGCATTCACAAGCCCCAGGATAAAAACAGGAAAAGTGATCAAAACGGCTACATCGGAGGGAGCTCAGGACATCGAAAGATCAGTCACAAGAAAGCATTCTTCTCACGATCGTGACTCTGCAGCTTCTACTCCGAGTGCCTAAAAAGCATACATTGAAGAAACACTTTAACATTAGAAAAATTAATGAGTTACGACTAACCGCAAAGCTAAACAACACTTTCAGTCACAAAGCAATGTATGAAATCAAAACCGAATAAGGACGAAATAAGCGAATTTTCCAAAAACCTAGTTGACGAAATGGAAGGAGTTGCTCACCTTAATGTCACTTACGAACCTTTGCAAAGACTCCTCGATCTTCGACAGGCGTGTGATTTCAGTTTGCAAAACTTCAACAAGTTCGCACAGCTAGAGCATTAAATTCATAAAAGCGTCTTTACTTCCTTATTCTCGTCCAAAGTTTCAACTAAGGCTTCACGGCGCTGCTCCGCCAAATCCACCCAGTATTCAACTGGGGGAGTTTCTAAGACAGGTGTCTAATTACCACACCTTACCTGAAGAAAGCATTTCCTTTACGTTCACTGGTGCTGCCTCAGTGGTCTGCGTTGATGCACATGCTTTCTCTTCAGCCTTTCCATCCCCAGACCTCTTTGCCCCACAATGTTGACAAAATGACGACATATTGTCTTTGTAAATAGTTAATGAAGGGGCTTTTGTCGTCTTCTTCAATGGAATACCACCATTTTCCTTGTTATCAATTTCCATAATAGCTTCCTTGTCGTTGACATGCTTGACGGGTTCCTAAGGAGTGAACTAACAACTAAAGCCTACTTTCTTGAGTTCCTTATTTTCTGAACGACCGACAGAATTAACCCTAACGGAGAGACCCTTCCGATGAACCAGCATTCCCACCTTAATCGAGTCAAATGAGGAACCCCGCGCCAGTCAGCTTAGAAAATGTCAGTACGTTAAAACTAAAAAATAAAAAATGCATATATTTGTATGATAAGGGCAAAATATAAATGTTACAAAATTAAAATAGATTTAATTATACTAATAAGTGCATAGGCTTTGTTATAAAATAGACAGGCACACAACATTTTTAGTGTATTAAAACCAATTCTGATCAAAATGTTAACTTGCGTATGGATTTTGCCTAGCATTAAATTAACAATTTCAAATTTTGTCTGCTGTGTGGTGGTTATTAATACCATGTTTATCGTTACTAACTGAGAGTTTGCACAATCTTAATGTTTTGCAGTTTTATACAAGCTAGTTGTGATGCTACTACCTCTACATACGTAAAAACGAAGCAGCCAAACATGTTTTGTTATACGTCAGGGCTACTAATTTTATGTGCCATCAAATGTCACACATGTGGTTCATTTTTTGATCCTGGCTTTAGCATTTCTCCCGCCTACTTCCGGTTTCGTACCCTTGGACCGAATATGTTGCGCGGAGTCAAACAGCAGCCTTCTGTAAATATATAAATGGTGACTTCTGCTACACTTAGACTGTTGGGTTTAACATAATTCGCCTTTGGGTACCACGACTATGCTAATGGGAAAGTAGCAGCGTCGTTAGTACCCATTGAGCCTCATTTGGTTAAGAGGACAATACTTCCTTATTATATGGTGCATTTCGTTTAGGCCAAAATTTCAATGCATCTAAAATCGGATTTCATGCTAATCTGCTTCATCGAACTGAGCGAAGCTAATCGTGTTGAACATCGTCTTTGATTCGAGTTAGTTATTTAGCCCCTCTAAAAATTGTAGCTCTAAGTAATAGGATTTCCGTAACCTTTCGATTCTGGTGAAATCTTTTAAGCCCTCTACCATATCCCATTGTGGACTACGTTGCGTTTCACAAGGCAAGAATTTGCTGACGTCATTTTTATATGTTGCGCGTGCTGTCTGCAGTCAGTGTGTTATGCGGATTTTAAGCAAAACTAATGTAAAACTATATTGCTGATCAGAGTGGGTATTTAATGAAATGTGGAACTGATTGAGGCACCAGATTTGTGTGAAATACTAGATGTATTTCGATCACTTCTAAATCTTCGACTTTGGTGGCATGATCAAGGTCACGTTGATGGCTGATAGTTGAAGTTGCTCATAAAATCTGAAATCCATGTAAAATGGACTTTTACAGGCGTCGCGGAGGTGGGCAAATCTGACCGTTTTTGTCCAACTTGCAGCTCATTTTCGAATAGAATTTTCAGTGCGTCAAATGGTTGTCCCGCGTGCAAACTGCTTCCGTTACCCACAGATTTTTAAAATCCACAGCAGGGACCCCGAAAGCGGACAGTCTGCGTGGCGTGCACGTTCCACCAATAAAAGTTGGCGTCCACACAAGCGATCAATAATCACTCGCAGTGGCGCGCCCACCGGCCACGCGCGCAATGGGCAGAGAGAGGAGCGGGGCGCGGAGAGCAATGCGATTGCGACTGGCAGTCTTCACACACGCCCACACGCAAACCCACACTTGTGCCGAGCCACTTTTACGGCGCGGACGAGCGGTAGGGGCCTATTCCATTCCTACCGTCGGCGCATGTTCACACTCCCATGTGGATGTTTCATTAATCAGTCTCCAGAGGGCATCAACAGTAGTAATCCGGCCATTTGTGTAATTAATTTTAGCTTGCGGAATCTTAGGCACCCTCCACAGTTTCCCCAAACTAGTAAAATGAAGACGTGTAAATAGAGCGTCAAGTTTTGTAGTTAGTGTGTACATACGACTATTAGCGATATTTGAGTACATGTGAACACCCGTCCGCGCAATCGCATGAATGTATTTGATTCAGAATTCTACAATGTAAACACCTATCGCTCGAGTTGAACTGGAGTCCAAGCGAGTCTCTTAGGTCCACCCAGTGTACTCTCACGAGCGCTTTTCGTGTAGTGATTTATCGTTCAGGTGGCACAAAAACTGTTCAGTCTGACGTTTTCAGTTTATTATTTGCTCTATTTGCTACATCGAAGATGGTTTTCATGCAAATCTCACACTGGTTTGACATGACACTGACTGAAATTTAACCTAAGCCAACTGCGTTGAGGTGTCTCGATACGTCCAGCAAATTGCTGGACTAGCAGTCTCCGCTGGAGGAGCGAAACTTGGTTATCTCTAAACGAACGAGGGAATGATACTCTCACGGTTAGCACAAAAAGTTTGTGTAAGTGAAAGTACCAATCCTGAAGAGGTGACATCCATCTATTTAAGAAAGCATGGCTTATTTAAATGCCTTTCTTTAAAGTGAACGTCCCTGGCACTGGTCCTTGTTTGACAAAGTAATACACCCATCTAGCGGTCCTTTTTGACAAGCCGGAAGAAGTGAGGATGATCAAAGGAAAACCCACCTCTAGTTGGCCAAAAGCAAACTAAAGAAATGCCACTTTTCACTGTTGGTATGCTCTACCGACGCTGGAAGAGGGGCAACAAATGAACAGTTCTAAGCGGACTATTTGAAGGTGGGCCTGACAAGCCAAAAGGACAAGCAATTTTCGGGACAGAAAGAGGGTTACAAAACCATTGCATAAAAATACCAGAAGGGAGGCACTATTTGGGAAGACAATGTTTAATTCATTGGTAGTAACAGCTTAAACAGTCTAAATACAAGACGTGGCGAGAGCGCAAAACCGGGCAGCAAAATGATTAGACCAAGGAACCTCGTTTATTTAATTTTATCGTGTTTGACCGTATGAGTAACCATTCTTACATGGAACCAACTGTCATTGCAATATTGGCAAAATGGGTGCCGTTTGGTGACTCAAAACGTGAGCAATGAAAGCAACTAGACCATGGAGGAAAAGTCTTGCCAGAGGAGCTGCCCAATGAACCGACTGACGACTCAGCCAGTACCTAGGTTATTACTTGATTTCAGTTGTCTCCGCACCCAAGTTATCCACGGTCGTGGCCATCTCGAGTGTCTATCCAGGGCTGGGGGCAAGCGTAAACCGCTATCCCCAAGATCGACGCGTATAGGCGTGTGCAAACAATGAATATGGTAGCAGGAAAGGGCACAAGGCAACATTTACTCGCACAAGAGTATCAACACGTAAGGGAGGAAGGGAAAGAGCAAGGCACAAACAGTTATAATTGCTGTTAGTGACTCGCGGTTTGTTTAGCTGACGCTTCAATCGTGTTTTTCAAGTCTGTTCGCAGTTTCGATGGGCAGTGAAGAGTAAAGGTAGATGCACATTTATGAGAAGACGTGAGCGCCTCGATGGACAACGAGGAGGACTGTGGCATCGCAACATCTCTGTGTCTGTCTCGGCGTCACCCTCTCCTCCTTCTAGTATCCCCTTCCGACTTTCTCATCTCGCATTGCCAACACCGTATACACATTAGCACTCCAGCCCAGGTGGAGGTGCAAGGTGGTCTTAAGGCTTTATTGCTCCCCGTCGCTACACTTTGTTGGTTTTTGTTACTCCAAGTTCGGTGACTTGATTTGTTTAATGCCTGTGAGCGCGTCCAACCTGACACCCGCCTGTGTGCCAAAGCTGGCCCTCCTGCTACCGAATACTCCGCGTACTGGTGCCTTTGTTTTATGAACCAATAGTTTAGAGCCTTTGTAGTCAACACTCAGCAGTGCCGGGCTACCGCGTTCTCTGGAATATTTCACTCGCATTTGCGTCCGCGAACGAGTAGAGGCTACCCTTGACTCTTTCCCACCAAAAAGCAGCAATAGCGGTAGTGAGGTCAGCTAACAGCAAAATCAAAGGCTGAATAATTTTAATGGCGAAACATTAAGGTCAACAAATAGGCAAATTGGAAAGAGTAAAAAAGAAAAAAAAACTATTTAAAGGAGACAATCGCACCTTGGGCATCCTCGCAGCGTGCGGGGAGGAGAGATGGAAACGGAACAGAAGGAAGAACAAAACAATGCGCCACCTTCCTCTTGCAGTGTTCATGAGGCAAAAAAGTTTTAACCATTGTCCTACCATCACCCCTAAATGTGCTTAAGGAAAATTGTCGCTAAAATGAGCTGCTCTAATGGTGAGTGGTAAGCCACATTATTAGGGAAGCGAGAAGAAGTTGGCGCCTTGGACTCAAATGGAGTAGATGTGTGGCAATACGTCAAAATGGCTTTCACCGACAAACGTGTTTTAAGTGGTGGTCAACAGATTGAGCTAAGTCACTTGTCAGTAGCAAGAAATTCCAAATGGTCCAACTTGAAGAAGACGTGTAGCTTCAGGATAGAAGAGCGGTGAAGCGACGCTCTATCCACTTTCCGTTTGCAGTTAGATTTTGCCTATTCACCGATCCACAGTTATATGGTATGGTTTTAGTGCGGTATGGTATGGTATGGTATGGTTTTAGTGCGAAGGGGTTACATTGTGATTTCAAACAGTTATGTAGAATAAAAATTTATAAAGTGCATCCGGATTTCCTTTAAGAAGTGAAAAGACAAAACTAGGGCCGAAAATGCATTGCTGCCATACAGGCTAGTGATATTGGCTGGAAGGCTAGCTCACCCGGCGAAGGTGTAGTAGCCAATACAATTAACGCATTTCATAGCCTCGCTTTCCTTTCGAGCGTAGTTCCTGGCGCTCCTCTTCGTCAACTTCCCGCGTCAGCTATCATAAAGAAATCGGTGCTGTAAGAAAACACCCACGAACCAACCACGCCCATTATTGAAATTACATGTAGCTGAGAAGAAATCCGACTGAGACGCCACTAATCCCTCTTAGCAATTCCACTGGATATGTAGTTTCGCCCTTTGTGGGTACTAGATCCGATGCCACCATCGAAGCGCCCTGAGACTTTCCTGAAGGCGCAAACAAACATGATACTCGGACAGAATGTGCATTGCCGACTTACAGTAGAGCTTAGGGCCACTGGAATGTTCTAGAGGTCAGGTCGCTCAACGAAGCTACAATGACGGCGTACCTAAGGGGCGCCTTCAGCCAAACTAAAGATTTAAACAAACAATTAGTGCATTACATTTACAATGGCACAATTCTAGTGATTGTAGTAATAAACATATTACGAGAACTATTAAAATAGTCTAAATGGAGTATACTGCTGCATTTAATCTCGTTATTTGCTCAATCGCCTCGATTTTGTTGTTTTATGCATAGGACATTTTGGCACCTAACCTGTAATTGTTGATGCAACGAGCCACTTAGAGCTCCCCATTGTACCTCCGCTGGGCGGTTCAGCTTTAAAGTCATGCCAGTAGCCCCAAGTCCTGCTGTATGTCGAATATATATATATATTTGGCCCGAGTATAACGCCTTCTTTCGTCATCAGGGAATTCTCGGGGTGCTATATAGCCCATACGAAACGTTTATGGCCGGCGTATTTGATCATCAAGACTTGAAGCACAGAAAAATACATGGTTTTCTATAAAAATATCCCGACTTTTTCGAAAATGCCGTTTGAACATAGTAATACTGATGCACCGGAGGTTGTAAGGCTAAGATCTCAAGAGGTCTAGATTATGACTGTATCTGGCATTGGCGTGGAGTCTGATGGGAATGGTTAGGACCCCAAAAAAGCCTCTTGGTTTTAACGATCAAGAAGTTCCTGGTCGGAAGTGGAATTCACTTTCCTTATAGAAACTATCTTCATTTGGGATCTGGGTAGTTCAGTGCCCATAAACGTAACTGGGAGTACATAAAAGTCATTACTTAGTCTCCCACCTTCAAGTCGAATTTGTCAGTTGCACTGCAAAAAATTGTGAGAACTAATTTCTCTTCATTTCTAAATGCACATTTTACTTTACGTTTTTGATGAGAATGACCAGGAAATGTGATATTCTTGGGTTCTTGAATCATCGTTGAGTAAATCCATGGATAGCCGGTGAATAAACACTTACGCTGTCTGCGTCACGTATAAGTGACGCCTCGATCTTCCAGTCCAGTTTTTATGCATTCCAGCCGTCTCATAAACAGTTTATTTGAACTTCAAATAATAGAAAAAGATGCGCAATATTTTTAGTTTAAGGGCAATCAGAATTTTTTGTCAATTGGTCAAGAAAACAAAACCCGTCATCGGGTCACGACAAAACATCCGCAACGTTGATAGGAAAGGGGATTTTGCTTTTTTTGCTAATAAGACGGTACAGGTCCGCGCAGAGTTGTTCCTCTTCCTCTTAGAGTACCCCATTAACGTCACGAAGCGATCTTCAGGTCCAAAAAGGATCAGATTTCGTGATCTTGTTCGATATCCGCATTTCGAACGCGGCTACTTCCGGCACATTCTGAAACGTCGCGCTCTCCATCCATTTCTTGCAATTAACTGATAGCGCATGTAGGCACTAGTAATCACTTCAATGCCAGTCAATCAAATACAACTAAATTGGCGCCATTGTCCACCGGCTAAACGGTTGTCACTTTCCTTGCTCACGCACGTCAGTAATAAAGACATCTATACTGAAGTCTTTGCCCACCCAGGCTCATGTGAATAAACACCAATTTGTAATGCAAACAAATCACTTTTGTGCATGTAATTTTTACCGAAGTCCCTTAAACTTTGGGGACAAAAAGGTCACCAGATAATCAGTTTTGCTTACTAGCATTGTCAAAATCGTGAAACATTGCAGGGTTGTGAATAGCAGACCGTCTGGAGGATGATGACCATACTGAAGTGGGGGGTTCCCAAGACCTTCGCGTTGGACCGTGAGATGGTTTACTACTATGTGAGTGATGGGTGTCAAATGAACTGCGATGGTGCATTCAGCGAGAAAATTAGCCGTGACATCTAGGAGTATGGCACTGTCATTACTTCAGATGCCTTTCCCAAAGTTGTTGAGATTACTCAAAAAATGCATTTTCAACGTCATTTACTGTTTGAGTATATTCCCGCAAGCTACAAAGGTGAAATTCGCAATCATGAATTGTGTAACGCGCATCTCAGTTGCTCAGTCGGTGGTTGGATACCTGAATAGGTGTAGCGCTTCGAGACTTCCCTGGAGACGAAAGAAGACATGCATTGCATTGTCGACGCACAGTAGGGCCTGTGTCAACTGACATGGGCCAGAGACCAGGCCACGCGGAGAAGGTACGATAGTGGGACGCCAAATTAGCCCGCTACCAGAACTGTGAGTTAAACAAACATTTAAAGTACTACAGAATAAGATATTAGTGCAAGCTATTTGTGCTTTGCGTGATCCATAAGAATAATAAGTGTGATTTTCGATTCCGACTCTTGCAGTTCAACCGGAGCCCAAAATTAAGCCTACGAAGAGGAACCATTTAAGGAAACTTTATGTAGCGTGCAAACACAAACACGTTCTACGTAAAGATTTGCTCCAGAAGCAGCGATTTAGTTGAAAAAGAAACAGACCATCTTCCAAGCATGAAAAAAATGTATTCAAATAACCAGGTTACAGCTATCCTCACGGCCTACAACAACTCCTCGAATCACAACTGAATTCGAGGGGGTGGACTTCTAGGCGATGACGTTACCAGATCCTCTCCTCTAAAATTCCTAGCCTTTAACAAGGTAAAAGATTGCAGTTAATCCTATGAATGTACCGATGACCGAGAAGTGATGGTATCGCTATGACGGTGGGTGAATGCCTATTCACCGATCCAAAATATTTCAAGCTTGTAAACAAGCGCGTTTACTTTTCGACTTCGGTAATGACAGGAAGGTAAAGAAGTCGCCACCCGAGGCGGCTAAATGCTCTGCACAAGACCTCACTAAACAGGCTTAAACAAGTTACTGCAGAAAGTGGATGGCTTCAGGGAAGACGTAGACCACCCCGCTGACCAAACCAACGCTACTTTAAAGTCGTTTTTTGCAGCTATGTTCACCTCTCATCCAGAGGTTCCCTTTGACTAAATATGCGCACCGCCGAGAATGGGTGGAATAAGATGTCTCTGATGCCAAATGTGGCTTCACATTCTAAGCGGATTAGGTGAAATGCAAAACATGCACCTACTCCAAAAGGCGCAGCAAAACCACGAGCCCCCGCCTCCCCATTCACCTGGTGGTTGATTTTGATGGAGGTAAATTAAGCAAATGACGACCAAACTCAGCTTAGCCTCCAGTTTCTATTCTCATTCACACACGAAAGAGACCACTTCCAGTTTCGTTTCGTTACTTCGCCGTCCTCTCGAACGCACTGCGATGACTAACGCGTCGGGATTGCCGTCAGACATTTTGCATGCCGCCCCCATTGGTCCAATAGCCCAGCAACGATAGCAACACCCACGACTAATTTTAGCACAGCCACCGCCGCATGGCCGAGAGAGAGACGAGAAGGCAACCAACTGTCCTCATTTCTGGACGTGCGCACACCACGCACCCGCCAGTGTAATGTCCCAACTCATGGCGGAGCGTTGACTATGAAGCGCCAGTCATCAATTACCAAAACTGAAAGGCCTTCCCACCTCAAAAATGGAGGAAACAGCCGCACAGAATGTGCGGCTTTTACACTCACGAGGTGTATTGGCGCATATTTAGATTCATCAGTCAAATAAAGCGACCGAAATGGCTATAGGGGTAGTGGCGAGGGCAAATTAGGAGACAAGGCACCGAATGTAAACAGATCGTGACAGAGATAGAGGGGGTAACGACACGCCCTGTGGCTATTGTTGCAGTGATGTGTAAATGTGGGTCTCGTGGGGAGTGGTAGGCAGAAAAAAGGATGACGGAGAAATTTCTAGACGAGGGCCACAATTCCATAGGATAGGAATACGCCGATACACAGACCCAGCGAGATATACGTTGACGTTGCAATGCCGCAGCCCTCTTCGTTGCCCGGCGATGCATATCTGCGATAGAAAAACGCACATAGTCACACCTCACAAATACACATCACAGCTCCATCCATTTCCAACCGCGAAAATTAACAGCAGAACCGGCAGAACAAATTCTACTACTCTCCCTCACACGTGTTTTCACATAGAGCACCCTCAATGTGAACACTTCCGAGACGACAGTCTAAAATTCCACGCAATGCTCCACTAGTCCAAACATAAAATTTGAAGTTGCCGATGGTAAAACTTGTGCTTCACCAATACTCTCTGTCTACTTCACATTATCTTAGAATTGGAAATAACCAAGAAGTTAAATTCATGCTATAAGTACTTTTAATGAGAACAAAACTGTACTTCTGACTCCCCTCTTCTGTTACTAACCGTTCAGGCATATCAAAATGGATTACGGTAGAAAATAGTTAGCGACATGATATTAAGCTATTTAGCTAATCTAATTTAAGCAGAAAAATATTTCTTTACAAAAAGTGCCTGAAGAAATCAAACATACGACACCTTGGTGCATAGTTGACACTCAGGGAGATGAGATAACCATTCGTAAGACCGAGCAGGCCGACTAGGATAGTTGGAATTGAATCATGATAAAAAACGGTAGGAATCCGTTTTGAATTAATGTTGCACAGCGTTGACAATGGAATCAGGATCGCGCGAAGAACTGCCATGGACAAAAGAAGCTTCTTCTGTGCGAATTTTGGCTAAAGAAAGTATAAAATAAGCAAAAAGCAACTATCCAATTAGAATTGCGTAGGTAATTGAAGTAGAGCGCATATTAGGATGACTTTGTTATAGATGTGGTGACATTATTACATTTAGCACATCAAACTGCAAAATTTGAGCATTAAGTCTGAAAACACACCCATTTAATCCACCCGACAAACATGCGTCCCACGTAGTCGAAAACATTGTAGCATAGGAAGACAGTAACAGCGTGGAAATATTTTGCTAAAAGATGTAAAGTAGATGTAATGGAGATGCCCTATTTGCGAAGATAGAAAAGACTACTCACTGTGCCACTGACTGTTTTCATCAAAGTTGTTGGGAACCAATAAAACATACACGCTAGGAAATACGGCTAAGGTAACAGCGAGAGTAAAAAGTAGAGTAAAGCCAGTCCATCTGACCTCCCACATAGCGTGCCAGAGATTGGCCGCGGTCCGCCTAAGTTTCACGTTCCACGGAGTGTTATCAGTTCGTTGTTTGATTCCTTAAGAAACAAAAGCTGTCCATAGTAATCAATAAAACACTGTAGACTTCCAACCAACGATAACCGACCTTTGTTTTTCCAGTAATACAAGAAATAGGGCTAAAATTTAAAAAGGACTGATAGGTTTGTAAATTATCGGAATAAACCAACCCCACAGTAAAATGATCACGTACGTTTCGGAAGAGAATTATAAAAAGGCCGATAGTGAGGGCGATAATACAAACGCCAATAATAAAATACGCGAATCCAACGTCGAGGGGGTTGCTCGCTGATGCAATTGTAAGCAAATTCGCTGCAGCTGCTATGATACCCGCAACGGCCTAATGGGAAGTTAAAGGTAAGTTCACTTTCAGGGGGTTCGAGGGAAAGTATGTAAGGGATCACTAACCTGGCCTTCAAGAAAAGCACGTGAATTACATCCTGGTAGTACCGGAAACAAACCATATATACTTCCTTGATTTATTGCACTCCCAACTACCCGTCAAGATCACTGAAAGCAAAACCTACTATTGTTAATAACAACCGTAACAAGCGTAATGATGAAGAAGACGTTTGTTTCTGAAGTCATAAGGTCACAACATAAGAAGTACCTGTTACGACTCGCGTCAAAATCGTTGTTATAATGAACATACAGAGCATAACAACAGCAGACGTAATCACGCGGAAAAAGACCGGAAGACTTTATAAATAAACAAACTGAGGAAAACGAACCAATCTTTTATCATTAGGTTAACGAAACTCGCTAGTGTCGTTGGGATTAAAGATGCGATAGTCAAATAGCTAAAAAACACCTTTTGTAACTCAGTCCTGTACATCGGTGAAAGGGGGTCAACACCCTCCGGTAAGCTTCTATTTCGGAATTGATATTGAAAATACTTAGCAATATGATGCGCGAAACATTACTTGTGTGGCTGTTATAAAAAAATTCCAGGGTAAGAGCGTGCCGACTCCGATAAAAAAGAAAATAAAGTAGACAAATCGGCATCTAGGACATAAAGGAACGAAGAGCAACAGACTTGTCTTTCGGTTTTCCTTGATCCAAATGCCCAGTTTCAAGCTCAGTGTTACACATTAGAACATCTCCCTCTCTTTTTTCATTCATTTCATCCACCTCCACTGCCATGCCGCGACTCAGCGATCGTCACAAGCGTAAGCGCACACAAACTGACAGTACACGAATGAGCGGAACAATTATAAAGTGCATTAAGTCAAAGTAAAGGGCATTTTCGGTGAAATAAAAGAAGCTGAATAAAATGACATTTTTTCGGATATTAAGCATGTTTTACTACAGGTTCAGCGAGAAACAAAGCATTTAGGTAGTGGGAAGCTAAATTGCTGTCGCCTGCTCCGCTAAAAAAAAATATAATTTGAATTTTGTAGATTTTTACGAAAATTAGTTTGCATAGGACAGAAATCACCTAATCATATTTGCTAAAGCATAGTTTACTTAGCCTTTTTCTAAATAGGTACTTAGTTAAAAAACCAAATCGGTGGAAATTACGCGATTAAATGCAAGTCGCGTATGCAAAATACTCAAGAAATATTGAGGTCCGCCGAGTCTTTCCCAAAGACAAAAGCCAGCATGATGCTCAAACAGAATGTGCAGTTTTCTTGCAGTAAGGAGGAGAGATTCTGGCATAGCCTAGAGGATGGGCCGCCTGGTGGAGATACAACGGCAGAGCCTCCAAGTTGGAGGTCAGCAAAACCGAAAATTAAACAAGTAATTATAGTACCACATAGTCCATCTCCTCTTTTGAACATCATCTGCTGACCCATCTTTCCGTGTTAGCCACTACAACGTAATTGGTGCCGCAATAAACACATTCACCAGCCAACCGTGGCAGTCTTCAAATTTCCATACGATTGAGAATATTCTTGATAGCAATTTCAGTGATTTTAGTGGTTCTGAAGTTTCGTCCAGTTTAAAAGCTGGATTGGGGAACTAGTAATGGGCTGATAATTACGTATATCCGTCGCTAGTTGTAGGGAACACTGGCTTAAAAGCAGCGTTATATAACAATATCATATAATAACATCATTCCCTGCGACTAAGTTCTCCCCTTTATTTTTCAGTGTCACATTGTTCACATTTCAGTGCTACCCAGCTACATCTCTCTGGGCTCTGTTTATCTAGTAGATACTATTTAGTAACTAATATCTGCCTACAGGTGAGCTTAGCAGCTCCGTAGCTAACTTTTCAGCTAGTTCACGGCCACGGCTCTTGCCGCTTCACTTGTCAATAGCTTTCCTGAAGAATACGGGGCCGGGGCAGTCGCTAAGGGTAGAGGTCTTTTGCAGCCCTTCTGTCAGGTGTCCTCGCAGATTCTTCCGTCCCTAGCCTATGCCCATTTTCCACCCGGCTAGGGTTTTTATTCTCAGCAGTAGGAATGAAGGTAAATGTCCTTTGTGAACAGATTTGATTCCAAGTGACATCAGAGTATCGCCCCGAGATCTATCAAAAGCCGTAATAGTACGTAATACTTAGGGGAATATGCATTGTCAGCATACAGAAGGTATTAAGACCACTAGTATGTCTCGAGGGATCAGGCTGCCCAGGCGTTACAATGGCGGGGCCTAGGTTGCCTTTGGCAATTGGTTATGGTTCGGTTTTTTGCATTGTGAAGCTGGTGCACTTCCCTTCTCCAAAACGACTGATGAATAAAGCGAAACTCTGGATACGATGGAGGTTTCGTTGAAAATAAGTTCATTTTTTAAATGCAGGAGAATTTAATCACTTGGCCTCCTGGTTCGATGGTGCTTTTCAATGCTCCGACTACGATGTGATGGTAGACACAGGGGGATGCGAGCTACCGCCGGATAAGACGCTCAAGGAAAGAAGGGGTATCATACAGCAAATTGGTTGCATGCATAGCAATACCGGCGTTGAGTTGCTATAGGTTCGTTTTCGTTAGAAGTCTTCAAGCCACAGTGAGCTAGGAATAAGTTTTCCTGCTACTATAGCTTGCTACCATTTCCGGGAAAGCCTAGGAAAGCTGTGTGTGCATAAACTCTAACATTGCTAAGAAGAAGTACTATTTCGAAGCAAATGTATTTGTGAAAAGGGTATATTTAAGCAAAGTTGTGTTTAATGCTATGGTGTACCACTACCGTTAGAAGTTTTCCACCACACGGTATGGGGACTAGGGTCTCTTATTTTCTATTTTTGGGTCATTTCCCCACTTCGTAGTTACTTATGTACGTTATGCTACTACTGGGTAGCATTGTCGAGTTTGCTGATTACTTCTTTTGGGAATCGAGCCCAGTGAAAGAAAAAACAAAGCCGTACATCCCAAGGGCAATAAACCCTGGTTGGAAGACTATTTGTGGAATGATTATTTGATGATACAAGTGGCCTAGACGAGTGGCGTGACAAACAAATCCACGTCAACTAGCCAACTGTAATTGAAAAGACTCGAGATATGTGTGCATGCTGGTGATTGATCAGCTTCACCGTCTGGAAGAAAATAGGCCCGGAACCTACTTTAGTGAGGCGTGGGTGCTTACTTGACAGTCTTGGTCCCTTTAAGGTCCATAATTCATTGAAACGAAAATTATCGTCTCTCCGCCACAAATCAGCATGCCTGAGCCATCATGTTTGAATCAAACGACTGATTTTACCAACCATCAAATCAAGATTTTAAATTTGGTGGTGAATGCGGGAAGTCCCAATGGTGAAGTGCCAAAATAAGTCTGCGGGATAGGTAAAGACCTAACATTCTCTGGAAGACCACTTCTGAGCTGGTTAATTTGTAAAAGCGCCACAACTTCCAACATTTTGAAGACGGGCATCTGCCTCGACTTCTCCATGAAACATGACATTGGTGCATTATAACGAATTGGTGATAAGCATTCCTGTCAGTACTTTCAAAATGAATGAGCCCCTGATAATCTATCTAGAATTTATGATTATTTACTTACTTTACAAAGTATTTTTAAACGCTAAATTGTCAAGTAATAACTCAGTATACTGGAATATGATGGTGGTTTATCCCTCAGTATTAGTGAGGCGCCATTTTTGAGCTTTTGAATTTGCCTTCCTGTACCTAGCTGGGTGGGCTGGCCTTCGGGCCATGTCAGTAGCCCAAACACACCTTCTCTGTGGTGAATATATATTCTGCCCGAGTATTGTGTTTTCTTTCGGCTTCAGGGAAGTCTCGGGACGCCGCAATACATACTATGTTTTTACACAAAAACTTATAGCTTAGACTTATGTATGCATTTAAACATGTTTTTTCTCGAGTCATTTTTCTGTTCGCGCAAAATGTTCTCCCCATAGTTTGCCAATCATTCGAAAGATCAGGATGCAAACACCAAACTATGTGGCATCACGAGACTAACCTGAAGAGGAAAGAAGATATTATTTATATGTGTACATAGTCGGCGTGCAGAAGGTATTTGGGCTACTGGCACGGCCCGAAGGCCTGCCCATCCGGTGTAGTACAGTGGCCAAGTCAAAAGTGGCTCTTCACCAAAAGAAAGAGTTAAACAACCATCGTATTGCAGTTATACCGATCCATACGACCGCTAATGTTGGTTATTTGCGGGGTAATCAACCCCATATTTTTGCGTTTTTGTGCATTTTGAGCAAACTTTTGGCCAATTGTTTTGTGGACTAAGTGAAAATGGAGGACAATACATCTTGACAGTGTTTAAGCGTCAAAGTAAAGGGACTAGCAACGGTAATTGTGATCTTTAAACAGGAATAAGACTTCAGATATTGAGCTTAATCTGCTGTCGTTTGGACAGCAATACTTTATTTATTCAAATAGCCATGCAAATTAGTTTATGTGAATTAGGTTAACTCAAATGAATAAAAACCCTTATTAAGATATTTGAGTTGTTAATTGCCTTCATAATCCAGTTTCGAGCCTAGATAATGGAGACGAAACTCCTTATTGCTGACACATTTAGAACGCAAAAACCCGAAATTCTGTGACAGGATGGCAATAAATGTCATGCATTTATGCAGTCAACTGCACCTTCTCTTCAATTGCCGTAGGTTTCACCACTATCATGGCGCCATGGTGTCACCTCCACGTACAGAGGCACTCAGCCATTCCACACATTATTGATAGGTCTTCATCCCGACTTTAATGCCTTATTACTTCTTCAGCGAGCCCGAAATGCAAATAAACGAGCGTATATTTCTTATGTGGTTATTCTTCCTCTCCATTAAGCAGTTTCATTGGTGGTAATTTTTCCATTTATAAGGGGTGAGACACTGAACATGCTACGCACATGACCCGAGTCGGTGTTATCGTGCCGGATCCAAACGGCTGTTACGAATCTTAGGCACAAAAGTCTAAAATGGACGTACAGGTATCTTGACGGTTGGGTCTTTTCATAGGCCTAGTAAATCCAGTAGTCTCTAAATTTGGTTAATGCTAGAACTTGTCCCTTTAAGAAATCAAGAATAGCCACGTTCCTGATGCTTGACAAGGAGGAAGCCAATGAGGATAAAAAAGGATTCACAAGTAGGATCTGTATTTACGCCAGGTTTTATTCCCTTTTGTTAAGTAAACTTTTTAAATGGAGAAACATAGGGCTTTGTATTGCTTCTATTAACGTAGCTGCATGATTTCTGTTGCACTTTTCCAAACCTTAAATCTGGTAGAGATGGTTATGTTGTGTTTAAACGCTTGCTGTTAGGTTACCTGCTAAAACCTGAAAACTGGTAGGTCTATTCAGTACGGATTATTAACGCAAAAGGTTACAGGAAAATCAGGAGGATACTCCATCTTTCCTAGTAATTGCTGGTATTCTTGTCACTGCCTGGCATTCTCCCATACTCCAACCGACCTTTCAAGAAGTAGGCTGATCAAGCTACCACCTTGCCGCCTGCCAAATCATTGTCAAAGGTTCCCGTGTGAAGGATTTTCTGGCCTCATGAGTCGACGTAGATGTGCTGAACACGCAAACCCTGATACTAGTTTCTGTGCTCCCAGTTCATTTAAAGTTGCTTCAATGTGTCGCTTTCAAACTAAATCACTCCTTAACAGTGAACTGAATAATTATCCTTTAAACTCATACCATATTCGCCACAAGGAAACTAAGGTTTGATGGGCGCATGACTTACCTAAAAGTGTCTTTGCCCACTTGGCAGCTCATTCGGCCTTCTTGGATAGGATTACGATCTCATGCTGTCTGTGATCCCAATACTTGACGCTCTCCATACTATTTGCAAATAAACTTAGTGTCAGAATAGTCCTAAAATGGAAATCTAGAGCAAAGATGCATCTGCTAACCCATCATCCACCTAAGGGAGTTCACTCAGTTGAAAGTGCCTGTTGTTTTAACAGCTTTGAGCTGTACTGATGTCACAAATAGCCGCGTATCTTCTTTTCTGAACACTCTAAGCAACCTCATGATTTTATACAGATTATATGAAATACAAGTTACAAATTGAAAAAAAAGCACAAACGCACAGGCATCATGTAATTGCTGTTGATGCGCTAGTGTTCCGCCACCCCTACCGAAATTTCCCACCAATAAGCAATCTAAATATACACACTGGACAGCTAACTTTTCCAGTAGAGAAGACTCTCAACACAGGGTACTGATGTAATATAATGGTTGTTTGCCTAACTCCCGCTTTTAATAAAGGGGGCAATTAGGGTCTCCACCATTGTACCGTCGCAGGGTGGGCTGGCCTCTAAGTCATGCCATTGGACCTCCGGCCCTACTGTGCTTCGGCGATACATATTCTACTAGATTATTATGTCTTCTCTCATCTTTGAGAAAGTCTAGGAGAGCTACATTGATGGCAGCGAAAAGCGATCCCGAACCTAAAGGACATCTGTCCTGATTTCTACTGCTGATTAATAAACCTTGGTGTGACGAAAGAAGTGAATGTGCTGCTAATAGGGGAATCGACGAAGACCCATACCAGAAGGGTTGAATATGGCGTCCAACTTCGGTAACTACCCCAGTCCCGTGCTCTTTAGAAGAGGTATTATCAACTGAAGTGACACTGGCCGTAAGCCATCTAAAAAAGTTCTCGACGTAGCTGTCTACCATACTTGTATGAAGCGATACATCCTCCACCTCTCTACTAGGTGGATAGGACCTTAGTAGATATGATTGGGCTGCACTGAGGTGAGGACAAAGTGGCAAAGAGGAATAAACACGAAACCTTGTCCCCACGGAGCTATGCCAGTGTTCCTACGACTAACGGTAAACAGTGTGATGGCTCGTACATTTCTTGTCCCTCCAATAGAGTTCCCTTGCAGGCAAAAAAACCCAGATAAAGCGGATTTGTCAAAAGAGATTCAAGAGATTCGGATCAAGTATCTCCTCAGTTGCACACAACTTCGATGACTTGCACGGTTAGTTTGTGGATGTTTACTTACAGCATTGATTACGCTGTGGTGACTGGCGCGGGAGGTTGACTAAGGAAGGCGCCGGAGGACAACGCCCAAAAGTGCAGAGGGACTATGTTCAACGTTGGTTGTTCCATTAACTCTCGATTTTGGCAACAGGCCACTTAGAGACTCCGCCATTGTACCGTCTACTGGCCCATACCATACCAGCGGAACCTACTCTGCACCAATTTCATTATTTCATCTTTCGTCCTTAGGGAATTCTCAGAATGCTACAATCAGCATCGCTTAAGCGTGCCAGCGCAATTTCCTTCTCTGAGTCCTGCATCACTAACGCATGACATTCGGACTTCATCGGGTCGTGGCAGTTGCTTGCACTGAATCGCGTGTTGCAAGCAAATTTGTTGAGTTCAAAAAATAAAGTTCATTTTTGCAGTTACTGCTTTGAGGGCAATGACATTTACATACGCATTTATCTACATTTCAAATTTTTTTCAGACGTCAAGGCGATTAGCATCCCACCACACCAATGGAACTTCTGATCTGTGGTGGTCGATTTGCCTTCAAACCCCTGGTCATGAACCTGGCAGAAGGGGGTGTGGTGGGTCGGTGTATGGGAATTACTATACAGTCATCCCTCTGGCAAGTTTTTTAACAATGTTTGACCAAAACTAGGGAAAATGCGCTCGGCTAAAAGGCGCAAGTTTTAAAAAACCCTTTTTTCGGCTTTGTCAATACATGTGGCCGTGTCGGCCCAGATGTACCACTTTGAATTTAGATTTAATACCATTCAACGTGACACCCGTAGCTTGTCAAGTCGAGGGCAGGTGGGTCAGAGATGCAAAAATCAGCTTACAAGGTCAGGGCCGAACTGGTCCGCCATTGGTAGCAAAACAACAAATGTAAATACTTTGCTACAATATTTTAATACCTAGCAACGTGACAAGAACTACTTGTATTTTCAGGCTTTAACAGAAGGAAAAACACTTTTTAGGGTACTTTCAAACCATTAAGAGTTACCGTTTACTAGAAATGATGATTGAGAAAAGCAAGCTGTGATGTACCGGGACGAACAGCAGGGTCCCGGTAAATACTAACCCCCTCGGTCACGTTGCTATCCAAGGCCACCTCCTGTTAAATTATTCAGATCACATTAGTCCTCGATAATATGTGTTCATCTGTCGTGCAGACTCCATGTAACAGGGTTTGACAACTTGATTAAAATTCTCAGCGGTTTTCGAATATATCGCAGTGTCCGGAACCCAGGGACCACTATTTAATCATTAACATAATTAAAAAAATGGAATGGAACTGGGAGGGCATGGAAAATAAAATTAAATTAACCAACTCCAACCGGCGAGGTCACATGAGGTGTATTTTGATTGTCTGGTGAAGGTTGATGCAAAGTGCTGAGAATTGGCATTCTTCCTTTAGCAGCATAATGTAACCAATTCGGAATGTGGCAAATTTACTGCACTAATGGAAGTAGGAGTGGGCACCAAATATCTCGACAAACTGAATTCGACCTTGTGGACTTATTAAAATGCGTTCTGACAAAAAATTGCTTAAGGCATCACCGAAATTACTAAACCAAATCATGTGAGCCTTTCTGCATTGGATGTGATGTTTTCACGACTCATCAGACCATTCGGTTGTGTAGGTCAGTGGACATTGTCTCTCCTGGAATGTGCTTCTGGTGGTGTTGGATGCTTTCCTTCAGCCTCCACGGCCCGTCGCGGGCACCTACGCACGCGCGTACGCAACGCCTGCTTTGTGATGCCGTTGCCCAAGTGGATCGGTGACATGCAACAAAAAATCCCATCTCTCCGTTTCACTGTTTATTGACAATTCTGCACTTTTTACAAGGAAAGCTTCGACCGAATATCCATCTAAGTTCAAATTGTATTCCAAGTTACCTTTAGGCATATTATCGCCAAAGGTGGGACTTAGCTCGCTTAATTGGTGGGTCCAACGTTGCTGTGGCAGCTCACTTTAATGGGTG